CTGGCTACAGATAAGGGTGTCAGATACCTCCGTGCCCCTCTTGTGTGGTGACTGGGAGGGTGGCATGAGAAGTGGAGGGATCTGGTCAGACCAAGTTGCACGACCTCACCAACTCAGTGCACAAAAGGACCCGCTTGTTCTTTTCCCCTCAGTCCTCTCGAGTGTGTCTGCCATCTGCCTAGGTCCAACTGGACTGAGAAAAAAAAACTAGGCTGACTGGAGCTCTGGAAAACTGAGGGGAGAACAAGTCACTCGTTCTCATTCCTGAGACAACCTGCAGTGTTGCTCTGCTGGCCCACTGGCATCCCCATTTAGCTGGAGATGGAGCCTTGCCAGTCAGACCATGTTTAGTTGCCTGGCTGTTGCCTCAGACCCCAGCACCACAGAGGAAGTGGCATCTGGACCCCGAAGTGTTCCTTACAAACAGCATGAACCCCAAGAATCACATCCTGTAAAAGGGGACTGGGGAATGGGGGAGGGGGGGAATTGTGGGAGGAAGAGAATCTAGTTTCAACTGGCCTTAAAAACGAAGGCTCCAAATGATTTCCCTGCATACAAGGTGGACTTGGACATTTGACTCCATGGAGGGAAGGAGAGGGGGGCAGTATGCAGCGCCATGCGGGGGCAAGCGGGGGCCTCCATCCATTTCTTAAACACACTCCAAACTAAAGAACTCGGTGTTATCCATTAAGAGCCCGGGTTGCACAAGGACAAAGCTACAGCATCCATACATCAAACCCTCAACTCACAGCCATAAACACTTGGAATTAAATAGAAAACAAAACCTGAAATCTATCCAGCTCTGCACTGGAGTGTTTTGAATCACCAAATGCCTCCAACAATCAGAGGGAAAGATGCCAGTGCTAAATGCACTCCATGCTTCTATGGCCCCCCAGTGGTGTTGGGTTTTTTATTTTTTTCAAAATAAACTCTATGACGGAGGGTTTTTGTCCAAGTTCCATTTTCTAGGAGTGCACAGAGCTACCAAGTGCGGACACATTTAATAAAAAATCATCCCACAACATCGGGATGCAGAGGGTCACACCACAGATGGGGGAAAGCTGCTGCACAGCCTGTATCATACCGATCCTACCAGCCTCTCCTGGGGTGATCAGACCATTTCACTGCAAACCTGCTTGAACGATAACGATTCTGGGCCTGATTCCCCGTGGTGCGACTCCACTGTTATGCTGGTAACGCCGCTGAAATCAAAGGTGCCAAACTGGAGTAAGGCAGTGGCGGATCAGGTCCTTTTGCTAATAAAAGCCATTGGCCCACTGCATTCCAACAGCAATCTATTAGCTAGCTATTGTTCGAACAGCCACCAAATCCAGACGTGAGGCCCACGTTTTCAAAGGACTGTGCTTGCCTCTTTGCCAGTGCATCCTTTTGGCAGATGCAAGCCCTTGCATTTGCATGGATGGAGCTACCTGCTTTGCACCAATTCAGCATGTACAGTTAGCAAAGTCTTTGGAAGGCATTGCCCCTGTCGTTTACTGGACAGCTATTGCCAGGATTTTAAGGAGCTGTTTCCACTGGGCAGTTGTGATGAGTCCTATACACAGACCTCTGCCTTGGTGTGCTGTTCTGAGTGAGCAGGGATGGGGGAAACTCTTGGCTTAAATGCTTTTGCTGGATACAGACACAATTATGTGCACGTTTGGGGAGCAGGGTGGGGGAAAATCCAGAGCATTGTTCGGATAATCAGATGCAGAACTAACTGGAGTGAGGCATCCGACTGTCCTATCAAAGAGCTCCCAGGGCTCCTGAGAGCACCAGAAACTTAGCCCCTTTCCTCTCCAAAACAGGACGGTTTAATTGCAGCATCTTCCATACTGCCCTTCTGGGCACCTCTGCAACTGCACTTTGTTACATCAGACTCTGCTTTAGGCTCTGTGCTCACTATGGCTCGAACTGCGCTAGAAACAATCCAATTTAGAAAGAGCTGGCAAGCACTGGGCTCCCAACATATTCTTCCAACACAGTTGTTTGCAGAGGATAGGACGTTTTACCAGCCGTGCTGCCCACGAGGGGGCTAACCTAGGGTGCACTTTCTCAGCAGGGCGATTGGTAACCACGTTGGGGGTGGATGCAAAGCAGGCTGCAACTGTGCTAGGTTGTAGTAGGGTTTGGAAACAATCCCCAAAGCGGGTACAAGCTACCAGGTCCGCCAGGAGATAACTGAGTTGAGGGATAGCGTCCCAAGGCTCACCATCGCACAGCCATATCTTAACAGGGTGCAAAGGCCCCATACGCCCCTCTCCCTCTCCTGGCTCCAAACTCTGACAGCCTCACATCTTCCCCCCTCATTGAGGTAGGTTAATCAGAACATGTCTCTCAGGTCCCCTTGGGACCTGTCTAGGTGGCAGAAATCACCACGTTCAAGCACGGATCTGTCCCGACCAAGCTAGAATCTGATTCACTCTCCCCTGTGTGGGCAGAGCAAACTCACATTAGGGGAACCATGTTGTAGCCTAGTTTTCTTCCGCCTAGTGGAAAGTTCCACGGTAATATTCCCCTCACGCACACCCCACCTCACCATACCAAGAAATCGATACCACATGAGAAACAAAGAGCAATGACACCGACAGTCTCATTTCCCTCCCAGAAGGGCAAACAACAGAGAGTGAGGGCATACTGGATTCCACAGGGGCGCTCACTCCACTGAGTGTGTGTGTGTGTGTGGGGGGGGCTCTTTTATGAGGGTTTAATATGGGTATAAACCAAATTTTCAGAAGCATCCACTGATTTGGGGGTGCCTGACTTGAAAGGCCAATGGCTTGATTGTGCGCCAGGCCGAGAGGCAGCAGCTCCATTTAAGGTGAAGAGGCAGGAGCTCTGCTCCTCTGGAAATCAGGCCCCAACATGGGGTAGTAGCAGTGCTCTACCTCGCAAGGGTGTTGTGAGGGTAACTACGTTAAAGATGGTGAGGTGCTCACGCACTGTGCTGATGGGGGCCATCTAACTACCTAAGACAGATAGTAATTGCTCCGAGTTGTACTCTGTTCTATACCACGCCCATCACCATGGTATCTGAGTTTCTAAAATGTGAGGCACTCCAAATTAATGGACTCTTGGAGAATGATGGGCATGGCCCCATATGTTCCTATAGCGCCCTTCATCCAGAAGGGTCCCACTGTGCTTCACAAATGGTGGGCCAAACCCTAGGGTCCTTGCTCAGATTTTACTCAGGCAAACCCCCTTTTCTGGAACAGAAGCTTTGCTTGAGTGAGGACTGCGAAAAAACAGAGTCTGCAGGTGTCAGCCCAATATACATCACTTCCCTCATCACCCAACTGGACCCATCTCCAGGGAGCAGGGCAGCAGCTGGTTAAAAACAATAACACTACCCAACCATTTAGGATAGGAGGTGAAGAAAGTCACCACAACCAAATGCAGGGGAGCTTTAAGTGGGTAGAATGTCCCATAATTACCCAAAATGGACTTTGGCCAGCACACCAGGGTTAGCACCTCCTCTACTGAGAAAAACACTCAGGGATCATCAGGGAATAGTGGGCTGCACCTCAGATTTACATCTCTGAGGAGACAGAGCAGCTCCAGCACAGCACCTAGCTCTATTCTGG